TTTTTTTTTGGTACGAAGAAGGAGGCTACACGCCTAAATAATAACCGATCTAGATGTAGAGATACCCAAACGGTCGTGGGTCAACCATGCACTCGCTCCCGGTTCGGTTTTGGCCACGTCTAATTGACATGCATGCACACCCAACACTTGCGAGTTGGTACAAAAGTACACAAATCGCAAGTATGTAGATTTTACGACGCATATCCCTACATGGACCGATATGTTAAATTCACCTGAAAAAAAGTGCTTGTCATTTATCAATATGGTACAAATACGTATACGGACTCCTTGGTACAACTTACTAAGGCATAATAATAATTATAAAAAAAAAAATGTAAGTCGCACATGCAAATTAATACCACCGCCAAATCCAAGGCCACGACCCACGTTATGTAAGCAACAATGACAAGAAAAATAAAAATATAAAAATGGATACAATTACAATTAATTATACGATCTCTCATAGCGTTCGGATTCAGCACGTGAACAGGGAAGCTAATTTCGCGGCTGACCATATGACGACATTGGCGGCCTCTACCTCGTTAGGACTGCAGAGAATCTCGTCACCCCCCAAAGGTTGGATGCATGGTTTAACTACGATTTTCGTGGGGTGGCTCACCCACATCGCATTCTAGTGTCGTAATTATCAAGCCTCTGGCCTCATTCTTTGTACCAAAAAAAAATCATGTATAAGAAATAAGTACAAACACGATTTTTATGGAGAATTTTGTCTGAATATTTGATGATTTCGGTAATATTTCGTTGTAATATTTGTTGGTAATTTCAAATCCTCTCTAATATTTTAAGAATATTTAAGAATAATTTTTTTAATAAGTACTCATGTAATACACGAGTGTTGTACTAATAATTATTTATTTGGGATCACAACTACTATTGATGTTCATGTATTTGTGAATTGGTTAAATAATAAAACAATAATAAGAACTTATATTGGATTCAAATCATTTATTAAATAATAAGGTGTACCCTCATAGAAACACTCGTGGGTATATTTATTGGGGATTTTTAGTGATATTTTCAAACATTTTAAGATTTGAATTTTCCTTTTTTTTTTTTTGAATTTAAGAGGAGTACTTGAAAATCTAATATTTGAAGTTTGGGATTTCGAATGAGATTTTATGTATTGTTTTTAGTTTTGAAGTCTCAACAAATCTTAAAAATTCCTAACAAATTTTTTTTATTGCTTAATTTCCTTTTTGAAGTCTCAACAAATCTTAAAAAGTCCTAATAAATTCCGAGTGTCAAATAAGTTAAATACTTCATAGCTTTTTAAGACTTTTTAAAATTCCGAACTTTTAATAGTCTTAAAATGTCAAAGTTAAATACATCATGATTTTCTAAAATCTTCAGAAATTCTAATCGAATACACCATCCATGTTAATTTAAATTAATTAAAACAATATATCAGCAATCCTAAGAGTCGTCTCGATTTGAGATCCGATTGGACCAATTTGATTTGAGTTCGAGCTAGAGTGGAGATCTAGGTCGATAAGTGAAGTAGCTCGATAGATCTGTTATTGAGATCTCAGTTTTGCTATGAAGCCAACAATTGACTTCATTCTGGAGCCAACCTTTTATATACAACAAGTAAACCATACCATGTATAACATTATAATTGTTATTTATTTAAGTAATCGGAGGCTCCATTATAGAGTCAATTGTTCACTTCATAGCAAAACTGATCGAGATCGTAATTTACTAATATATGACAACCTAAGTAATTAAGAGAGTTCGAATTGAATAATAATCATTGACTATTAATAATAATCTGAAGCACAAAATGTAACAATATATAATAGTTACACACAACCCAAATGAATAAGCAACATTTACTAATCATTATAACTTCATATGTTATTAAGTAAACTGTAAGATTCTATGAACTTCAGATGCAATTTATTTTATATATTTATTGATATAAAATTAATTGCTTGCATGTAAAATACAGCTTGCCTGGAAGCTTATATTATAAAATGATCATAATATATGAAATGATTCTTACAACTGTACGTGTGACTATTAATATTCAATTAATAATTCCTCTTTTTTTTTCCCATTATATTATATTATGTGACAAATTACCTCACAACTTTTTTCGATAAATTAATATTATTTTGCTATATTTGACACTTAAAATAATACTATGAAATAATGAACTTAATTCACTAGTGAAGCATATAACTGAAGGTATATTAATTATTTGGTAAATAATAGCATTATTTATTAGTAAAAATAACTAATTCATATTTCAATTTTCAATATTTACAAAAAAGATTCTACATTGATCTTTTCGAAATTAGATTTTTTATTAAAAGAAAATTACTCCGAACCGCTACATATATATATCAAACAATAATATTAATGATCCTGGCCGGTTAATTTATTTATTTATTTATTTTTTTTTAAAAACGCTATTTCCCAGACTTTATACTATAAATATACATATACATTGAAATTGAGAAAAATGATATATCCACCCATTTAAGCATTATTCAGGCTACACTGTATATAGTTTCTTTAACGTTAATTGTTGCGAGACAAATCTTAATTTTAACAATTATATATATTCAACAAATTTATACAATTTTATATTAAAATACCATAATTTAAATATTAATATAATTAAATGTATAATATTTTATGATGTAATAAGTATGTATATTTTTCATATAAAAAAACATATCCCGTAAACAATTATGCTCACCAATTAACATGAGCATGTTTATGTTCTCAACTTTGAATAACATTACCAACATGGGTTGACTCAAGTGGTAAGCAGCTTGATGTTGCTTAAACGAGGTCTCGAGTTCAAGTTCTTGTTAATATAAAAAATTCTTGTTGGGAGACTCGCCGACAAAATCATCCAAACATAGTCAATTATTAATTACTTTTAGTACGGTTTTGCACTTTTCCTTTATATATATAACGTCCAATACTCTTCAATTTTCCACATAAGTCCCATGTTTTTATCCTAGAGAGAGAGAGAGAGATAAAATCCAAAAACTATAGGACAAAATTGATTTGCTTTACTTGATTGATTTGTGATTAAAATCCAATCATGGGCAACACTAGCCTAATTAGGTGTTGTTTGGCTTGCATCCTCCCATGCGGCGCGCTCGACTTGATTCGGGTCGTGCACCTAAACGGGTACGTGGAGGAGTTAACGGGCCGGGTCACGGCTGGCGAGGTCCTCAAGAGCCACCCGAGCCACGTTCTCACTAGCCCGTGCTCTCAAGGGGCCATGGCTCGGCGGATCTTGATCGTCTCGCCTGGAACCGAGCTCAAGAGGGGCTCGATTTACTTCTTGGTACCCGAGTCATTGTTGCACGGCCACGAGAAGGTCGGGACGAAAAAGAAGGGAGGTTCGAAGCTGCCGCGGGTCGCGGAGAAAAATGAACCGCGGTCTTTGAGGAGGCGGAAAGTGGCGGCGGACGAGTGGCGGCCGCGGCTGGAGAGTATATTGGAGGACTTTTGACGTGATTTTTTTTTTTTTTGTTTTGGTTTTGGTTTTTTTTTTTTTTAATGATTCTTTTGTGGGGTGATTGCATTTTTTTTTTCAAGGCCCTGATAATTTGTGAATAATTGGTTGGATTTCATTTCATATTTATTTTTTTAATATATATTGTTTGTGTGATGTGTTTATGTGATATTTCTTGTTATTATTATAAAATGAAATGAGATGAATTTGAAAGTACAGTAGTGTTGACGAGCGTTTTCGGTCAACGGTTAAAATGGAAGATATTGAAAGTGTAGAACTGGAAGATAAAGGAAAGATATGATTTAATCACGATTTTATTAAACGATCACGAGGTCGGCCTCTCGTACGAGATCGGCACTTGTGATATACTTACGATTCTTACAAGAGGTTTCTTACAATTTTAGAGAGGGAAGGTAGAAAGAAGCTAGAGTTAGTTGGACATTCAACAACCCAAAATAAATGAAGTGAGCTGCTATTTATAGCATTCTTAAATGGGACCGGTCTTGTCGCACAGTAGGTTTGCAGAGCAGTTCGGCGCCTCCCTGGCAGTTCATTAATGCGATTTGAGGTTTCTTCAATCATTGTTTGCCAGACATTTAATGCAAGCATGGGTAGCATTTAATGCTGATTGACTTTCTTGACCAGGCTTGCATGTTGAATGAGTGACTGTGACAGGCCGTCCCATCAACGAATGATGACCTCCCAAGTGGCGAATATTTTAATAGCGACCTGATCGGCGCTACGCTTTGACAGGGCGGCTCTAACTTATTCAGACCGGCACCTTCGCTCTGAAGGTCCGCACGGCCCGGGTGATCCTTTCTCCAGTTCGGTACCATGGTGAGACCGGCCCGGCACCCTACGGGTCCGGGTGCCGGGCTCGGGAAACATTTCCTTATATCTGGGCTGCATATAATTCCTCGACTCAATTCGGCTCCCGCACTCTTGATCTGCTCGACACTTTTCAGAAGTTCGGTCCTACCCAGTTCACAGGGCCGACCCATTTGAATCTGACCCGACCGATCCGGATGTCAACAAGTAGTACGCATAAAGGAATTTGATGCAAACCAACTTTAATTTATATTAGTCCGAGTAATATAAATGAAATTCATCTCTTGAATATTGTCTAAAACTAATTAATTAAACATATCATTTGGAAGCTGAATTCGGATGAAATTATTATATATATATATATTTTAAATTATAAATTCAAACATACAGGACGTTGAACATAGTAGTTATTTCATAGTTTTTCTTAACTTTTCAATCAAATTTTTTTTATAGACTTTTATATGAGACGATCTAATTACAGTTAGACGAGTCGATTTGTCCTAATTCTTAACAAAATATACGTACATCATACTTTTTCTTAACAAATATGAACTCATTTTTTTTAAAGTATGATATTTTTTTTAATTTAAAAACATGTTTATGTATTAATTAAAAATATATAACTCTCCAACTGAATATTTTGACTTTCGATCGTAGCAGCTGCAATTGGAGTATATATTTATTTAGAGGTACGTACGTACACAGCTAAAATGATGATTGGTGAGCTGGCGGCCGTATAATATTAAAGGCTCAAAGCCTCAAACAATTAATCATGCACTGTGCACGTTCAGATGCAATACAAATCTCTACTATACATATAAGCAATCTCTACTATACATATAAACAAACATTGAGGACAAATTCTGAGGCCGACACGTGTCCTTTTTGGATAAAAATAACCTTTCTTTTGTCCTGTTTTTACAGCTTTGCCATTGAATTAATTTAGGTTAATTAAATCGTGCATCCGTCTCGGTCTGTCACTTCCCTCAATTCCCGCAAAAGTTACCTTACTCAAGAAGAATGACGTGTTCTTCCCGATTTTCCGATTAGCTTTTCTACATTCACCCATTTCTTCTTCTTATTTTCTCAAACCCTACTTTTCTCTATTCGACATTCACCGATTTTTGGAGAACAAAATATTTTACCAGAAAGAACCCTAATGACCAGAAGGCGGGGAGCTACACCACCTATGGCGCCGATGAGCGACGCGAGCACACTGCGGGTGCGCTGCCCTAGGGAGGCGGTCGGAGTGTCATGGCTTCGATCTACCATTTTTAGGCCCGAATTAATCGACTAATTCTTCAAAGGTGCTGTTTTATTTTTTTTTTATTTTTTTATTTTTTTTTTTTTTCTTATGCCTTTCATTTCTTAACTTTGTTCAATTCTGATTTTGGATGATAAGTCTAATTACTATTTTTTTTTTAACGATTGAGTACAATGTCAAAAAAATTAATTTGCCGATTCATATTGGATGGATCTCACAGATGGTGGGTCGACTCAACTGATAAAGCAATTTGAGCTATCACACAAAGAATGATATGTAAGTAGAATTGAGAGTACTTTTTTAATTGATTTTCGAACAATTAGATGTAAGTAGGGCGTTCAGTGATTCCTCGAGAAGGATTCAGGGAAATGGTTGATTCCTTAAAACTCCGGTAATTGAGATGTAAGTAGAATTGAGAGTACTTTTTTTAGGAATGAAATCTTAAAAGGGAGTTGAGAGTACTTTCTTAAGAATGGTTACACGCATTATCGTGCATTAATCAACATTTCAATAGTAGATAAAATATTATCTTAACCGAGATAAGGTTGAAGAGAAAAGATAGAATCTTCTATAGTAATCATTGGATATCTGAAATTTCTCCATAATCTACCCCTTCTATACTTTTTTAACTGTTTGCGTATGGTCTAATGATATTGAAACTATTGGTTAACTTTTTCTGCCTCCAAATACTTTTACAATTTAATATTTATGTTGAGAATTATGAACCATTCTGCAGCTTCTAAGAGAGCTTCGCCACTAATGCCGAAAAAGAAGGAATTTTGAGTAATTCTATAGATTCTTCTATAGAATTAGTTGACTGTAGCTCAAAGTCAGATATATAAAAGTTATAGACGTTCAATATATCAGCTAAATATATACGCTAACTTCAGGGGAGATGACATACACGCCGTTTATTGGTATCACAAAAATATTTTTAATGACTAAGAAATGTATAGATTGTGTTTCTTTCTGGCCTCGACTAGATTGGGCCAAGGGTCATTGATTCTGAGTTTTTATGACAGACTCTCGATAATAATGGTAATGTAAGCCAGGTTCAGTCGCCAGTCGGACATCCTAAAGTCCCAGCATGACTGCTTTTGAAGAACGGCGGGAAAAGTTGTCCCGTTGCTGGAGCGAGAAATCGAGGAGGAATTTTGATAGAAAAATCAAGGTGAATTTTTGAATCTGCTTCTAATTATTATTTTTTTATTGTTTTGCTTACTTTTGTTGATATTTTGTGTTTTGCTTTTATTTCCATGTAAAACCCGACCGAATATAGAATATGAAATCTAGAGTACAACTCTTTCTTTACAGATTCTTGATCAAATCAAGCAGAACCATAAGCAGATCATATTTTAAGATAACATGAACAATGTTTGGTTGTTAGTAAATTATGTCGAATACTTAAATTAAATTTTACTTTTTTGCTCTGATGTGTGATCTTACTGCAATGCCTTTTCTTACCTACGAAATCAATGTGCAAAATCGAATATTACAATCTTATTTTTTTCCTTAAAACATATATTTAGTTGCAAAATGTTCTTTTGTTTAAAGTATGCATGCAGGAAGGCACTGGCAGCCAACCGAGATGTCGTGGCCGATTTGCGAAATATGTTTTATAAAATATGTTTTGGAAGTTTCGATTCTGTCCTGAGGCTATATATCTTCTATTGTTGATACTTAGTGTTGGGTCCTCAGGTTGAACTTCTTGTCTTAGATAACTTTAAACTAAATCATTGGATATCTGAAATTTTTCCGTAATCTACCCCTTCTATACTTTTTTAACTGTTTTGTATTGTCTAATGATATTAAAACTATTGGTTAAAATTTTCTACCTCCAAATACTTTTACAATTTAATACTTATGTTGATAATTATGAACCATTTATTCAGCTTCTAAGTTCATCTCAGAGCTTCGCCACTGATGTCGAAAAAGAAGGAATTTCGAGCAATTTGCAACAAAGTGAAGAATGGCTTTATGAAGATGGAGAAGATGAGTGTGAATTTGCGTATACTAAAAAGTTAAAAGAAATTGCAGAAGGTTTGTTCATTTCGTTTGTCATCTTCTTCATTTCACTATTCCACTTTTATTGAATTTTCTTAAAATGTTTTCTAGATGGTGGATCCAATTGAATATCGATAGAACGATGGAGAAAATAGGGCAGCTTCTACCAGAAGCCTGCTAAATTCTATAGTGGAGTATCATATGGCTGCAAGATCACTTCCCCTGGTGAAAAAGACGAGGTATGGATTACTTTTTTCGTTCTTTCTTTTTTAGAAATTACTTTTTAACAATATTTTGTTCGAATGCTTCTTTAGGAATCTTAATATTATCTCGATTTTGATATTTGAAGATAATTGGAGAATACGATAAAGCAGAGAGAGTGGCTTAGACAAAAATCCACCTGTAGGATTCACTGCCCACTGTACTTTGGTCTGGTGAAATCAAGCGGAGAGCTCAGACCCTTGATGGCTACTCCTTCGCCACAACCGTTGAGCGGGAAATTGTGATGGACAACAAAGAGAAGCTAACCTACATTTCCATCGACTATGAGGAGATCGAGACTGCCGAGACCAGCTCTGCTATTGAGAATAACTACGAGTTGCCCGACGGGCAGGTGATTACCATTGGGGCAAAGTGGTTCCGCTGCCCAGAGGTCCTTTTCCAGCAATCCATGATCAAGATGAAAGCTGCTGGAACCATCATGAAGTCATGAATTGTGCTGTGGATATTAGGATGGACATATATGGAAACATCGTGCTGAGTGGTGGGTCCACCATGTTCCTGTTGCTGACAACATAGCTCTGTCACGGAGAAGCATGAAGATCAAAGTGGTGGCCCCACCTGAGAGGAACGCGAAAGAAAAAAGGTGCAGGACTAGAGTAATTAAAAATGTTTGCATTTT